TGTAAGTCCTGCCTTTAATTGTTTTTGGTGAAACATTCTTCTGGGTCGTATAGCCTTGGAGTGTCCACTTGCCGTACAGAGGTAACTTGTGGTTGAGACTTTGTATCTACTCCAGATAGATTCAGGAAAATCTAACCAGTTAATTTCTGTTTGACCCCCTGCTGAGAATTTGGTTTTCATCCCAGATATACTGAATTTGAATCTCCATTCTAACAAGCTCCCCATAAGGATATTTAAAAAAAAAAAAAAGGAATGTAAGTCCTGCCTTTAATTGTTTTTGGTGAAACATTCTTCTGGGTCGTATAGCCTTGGAGTGTCCACTTGCCGTACAGAGGTAACTTGTGGTTGCTGTGAAGCTGAACACTGTGACACGGAGTCAAATGTGAAAATAGTTAGCCATAGTGGGCAGTGTTTGGTGGAGCTCCCCGATTAAAACAAGCTTGGAAGCAGGAGTGGCATCTGCTTCCAAAATAGCTTGCCTCTGGAAAACCTATGAACCTGGAAAAAGGATGAAAGTCTCCTAAGTGTTGAGGAATTTGCTTCATAGGGTCATTATGAGTCGCCTACGACTAGACGTCACTTAACAACAACTTAACAATATTATAAATGTAAGATTCATCTGGAAATGTATAGGAATCTTCTGAAAATCTATAGGAATCATCTGGGGATCTTATTCAAATACAGATTCTGATTTATGTTGATTTAATGTAACTAAAGTCTTGTTTCATGTCTTTTGCAGACTCTTGGGGCGGGGGGAGTAGCCATGCTACCTGATAAGTAGAATTTCCTGGATAAAGAGAACTGTTTGGTTTGAAGAATCCTTTAGGGAAAATAGAAGATTCTTTCTCAAAAAATACTGGGTTCAACCCCGGACCTGATCAGGACATAACAAGTCCTGTTGTCTCTACTTTTCCAAAGTGCTATTTGAAAATATCCAGCATTTTTCCCCCCACTAATTCTATTAGGGAACATTTCCTTCAATTTTATTGAAGTGGATTTTTTCCTTATTTATCCTGAACCAAATATGTACCCTTTTATAAGGGAAGCTAACGGTGGCAGTAGGCCAAAGGCTTTAAAACTAAAACCCTTGAAATACAACACACAGTAAGATGGTAAAGGAAAGAGCCAACATTTCTCACTCACACTTTTATCTTCTAAACAACAGTGCCATTAATATTATTCAGCACCTAATTGATCTTAGAGCTCATTGAAGGTATACCAAGTCCTCTAAAGGCAGCCGAAACTGCCTTCCCTCTCTCCTGGCCCCCCACGTCAGACACAAGGAGGAGAAGATAAACAGAACAGGACCAAGGGAGAAGGCCAAACTCAAGTCTAGAGTCACTGGGTTTTCAAGGACAAACTTGAGAGCACCTGCCTTTTAGAGGAGTACCACCATCACTACCCCTACCCCACACCTCCAGAATACAGGGGTATATTAACCAGAGCAGGATATCACTGTCAGGGGCTTAATTCAGCTGGACCTAGCTTAATCCTGGGTGGATGTTCTTGGCAAAGAAAGTCTAGGAGGTGAAGAAGGTGTAGGTTCTACCATGCCTGGGAGGCTCCTGGAGGCTGAAGTGGATGTCTGTAGGAAATGGGCTTACATCTGTGTCCTTGAAGACCAGATTGCAAGCGTGTAACTGGTCTAGTGTTATGACATGTGAGGCAGGCGACTGGACAGCTGATTGCCTGTGGAGAGAGGGATGATACCCAGTCCTGCCAAGGTCTTGAAGTATTGTTGAAAACTCTGAGTCTGTGGATTCCTGAGCTACTCTACATTATGTCTGTAGACGTAACCATGTTTATTTAGATTTTCCCAGCAAACAATGGAGAACATTTCTGTTTAACTCCTTTATCCTTTGAGATCAAAGACAAGCGCGTGGCACGAGTCTCCGAGGAGGTCTCTTTTTGCATTTTAACCAACTGTTTTCTGTTTCATTCCTACTTATTTTCCCTCCCCCATTCTTATTTTTTCAATTGTGATTTTAGTGCAGGTTTACAGAAAGAATGGGCTTTCATTCATTCATTGATACGCGTTTTCTTCTCTCCCACTCTATTCCTTATTCCTTAGAACTGAGATCTTAAGGTGTTCTCTGTTAATGCAAATATAACATAAACAGGAAGTGTGGCAAAAAGTGCAGAGCCACAGAAACCAGGCCAGACCCGAGCCTAAAGAAAGTGCCCAACACTATTAGTATTTTTGAAAATAATTTCAACTTGATTTTGCCTCTGTTTGTTTGCTATCAGGTAAACTATATGTGGACAACAAACCTGAACCTTGCCCTATCGTGAGCCATTCTCAAGATTTCTTAAATGCCCAAGCCCATTGTTTGAGTCACTAGATGAATGTAAATCCATCTTGTTAAGATTCTTCTTCTCTTTCCCTGTTCCTTTACCTATCCAAGCTTAATTTCTTTTTCCAAGGACTGGTCCCTCCTGAAAACAGGCCCAGAGTTTTTGAGGCAAAGTTTTAGTAACCATGCCTCTGAGGTGCACACTGGTTGCATTTTCTACAAGACAAATTTTTTTGTAGTTTGGTAATCCATGGACTATTCAGTACTCTTCTCTAACTCCACAACCCAAAGGCATCTGTTCTTCTTCTGTCATCATTATTCATTGTTCAACTCTCAAATGTACAGGAAGTGATTGAAAAGACCATGGCTCGGATCAGATACACCTTAGCCTTTACTGTCCTTGCTCTTTAACACGGAGAAGTCCTTGACAGCAGTTTTTCACAATGTTACACATCTTTGGATTTCTTGAGTGCTGTGACCACGGGTGTTGACTGGA